GGCGCAATGCTCGATTAACTCCTCGGGAAAGATTGGAGATCGGTTTTCTTCGCTAGTCACTTCTTAAACCCACACAAAACTAAAAACTCAACAAACAAACTCGAACTCCTCGGCATTGTTTGGGCTGTAGAACACTACATAAATTATCTATTCGCTTCGGAAATTGAAATTATAACCAAATATACATCCTTTTATCAGCATTATCTTCTAACCATGGAAACAGAACTCATCTTAGCCGTTTAAAAAGATGGGTTGACATTTTTTTCGTTAAATTTTTCAGTAAAACATCTATCGGGCAAAGATATTGGCTTCAAGGATTCAATCTCATTTATAAAAGCATTTGCTCCTTCAATTAATGAAAAAAATTTGTCCAAGCAGCAATTAGTAAAATTAATTCAATTATAAATCCGTCGGATATTTAGATGTTAGACGACCTAAAGTCACACTCAAGTTTGATTGAACAAATTCCGGAAAAATCAAATGACGTCAGATATTATAAATCCGTCGGATATTATAAATCCGTCCAACCTTCAGGTGTTAGACAATTTAAAGTCACATTCAAATTTGATTGAACAAATTCCGGAAAAAACCAATTCTAAACATAGGTAGCTCCAGAGAAAATTTTTGCGATTTTGATCGTTTCGGTTCCAAACTTTGTATTTCTGAATGTCTTCCCTTGGGTTATTTTAAAATTATTTGTTCTAAAATTACCATCTCGAATTTTTCTTTTTTTTCTTATCTGTACATTCGAGTCATTTAAAACTCCTATGGAATCTAATATTGTAAGTAAGGTAAATCTAAATAGTGGAACTGTAATTATTCCCTCATCATCCGGTTTTGTTATGAATTTTATTTTAAAAATGTGTCTTTTGACCAACCATCACTAGTGACAAAATACTGTGAATCATTAAAATTGCCAGAAAAACCATTGGAAATAGAAAAACGTCTTTAAAACTAAATTGTTTGCTTGGCTCACCGAAGAAGGTTGCATTATTTAATCCATGGTTAGAGCTCTAGAAGAAAAAAAGGGAGATTCAGACCACTAAATTGGGCAGTTATTTAAATCCTTTTTACAAAGACTTACATACTGCCAAAAGTTTTCTTTATATGGACAACTAGTTAATGTTCACCCTTTGTCCTGAGAACAGCTGCCATGAAACTTCTCCATGAAACCTATCCTGGACAATTCGGAATGAAATTACTTTCGGAATACGTACGGTGGCCTCATATTAACAGAATAATTTAGTTTCACGGAAAAACTGCTGGGAATGTATAAAAACTTAAACTTCTAATTCCTGAAAACATTATTATCTTGCCGATCTCAAATTTGTAAATGAAGAAAAAGATTTAGATTTCGCAGGTCCATTAGATCCTTCGTGGGGCTATTTTAAGTACATCCTACTTTGTTTAGACAATTTTTCTATATTTTCTCCGGCGGAATATGCTTCAATCACTTTAGCCAAAATATTAATCAATTTTATCACTGATTATACCCAGCTTCATGGAATTTCAATCTCAATTCGGGTAGAACATGCTTCGTGCTATACCGGGGCAGACTTTAAACCATTTTGTGATTTATATTAAATAATTATTATATTTTGTACAGTAGCCGACCACCGTTTCAACGGATTAGTGGAAAAACTTTTACTTACGGACTCAGTTTCTAAAATCATTTGGAAATCATAGAGCAAAAAACACTCGAGAATAAATTGCACTGCATTTGAAAACTTTTCAACAGAACACCAAATTCTCTGTGGAAAACTTTGATCAATCAAAATAGTGGTGACTTTTTAGACAACGGAAAATCAATTATGTCAAAAAACAGGACAAACAATTGGGCTTCAGATGATAGAAGAAAAAGGATACCTGGACGCTGGATAACAAAAATTGAAACCCCGATGACAAAGGATGCGGTTCAGAACCAAGCACTTCACCAATCAAGAATCTCACAGCGATTAGTTCAAAGAGGTTCCAACTCTATAAACACCGTATGGAAAAGTAACATCTTCCAAAAAGCTTTTTAAAAAAATGGGGAGCCCTATTATCGACCTTTGGGAGAAAAAAAAGTTACATTCTACTCATTCAACGGTGAAACTTGCAAGCGGGAAGATTATAATTAAACCCGATATAGCCGTTAGAGAGAATTGTTCGAAACAAACTAAAGTTTTCAAAGAAAGTGTCACAGTCCCTGACTCTAATCGTTTATATGAAGTAGGAACAAAGAAGAGAAAAGCGTGAGCAAAATCAAGACTAGAAGTGGCCATCACTCCGTCGGACATTTTAACCAGGACAAAATGATCATCAAAGAAAACGAGACAATCCAGAAACCCTTCTCAAAATAAAACAAGATTCCAACAGCAACGCAACTCACGGAAGAACTTTTGACCAGGTTACTTAACCAAAGATGAATCTTTCTATTATCCCTTTGACAACTCAGACTTAAGGGACTGGGAATGGACCGTAGGCGAATTTCCATGTAGAAATGTAGACATGGAAAGGCTCGTTAATGACCTAGATAATCTTGAACCACATCTTAGATACAAACAAACTCCATCGGATAATCACATGAAGTCTGAATATGTAGGTTCAGGTTGGAATTCACAAGGAACATTAGCTGGTTGCCCGATAAGCATAACAATGGCCCCCTCTTCTCTTCAAACTGCGTTAGAATCTTCCGAACTGACGGAACCGCTTTCAGCGTTTGATTTCTATGACAATACGCCGGATGCGATTCAAGCAACCAGAAATCAACTTGCCGAGCCGGTAAAACTGGAGTTGGAAGAAGATTTTGCAGATGAAATCCCGGTGTACGAAGTGGGAGAGTCTCCTGAACGTAGTAACTTAGTTCCTTCTAGACCAAGACGGAATGTGGGACCACTAAAACGCTATGGTGAAAGCTTACATACAGATGTTATAGGCGAGGAGAGATTGGGGACAGCAGACAAACCTTTTACACTTAGTGAGGACATGGCCAGCGATAACATCTCGGAAATTTAGAGGGAGGGCAGAGAAACTTTGGTCGCCCAACCAGTCGAGCAGTCAAGCCCCATCATCTCACAAACTCCGACAGAATTAGTGCCTGAAACGAGAACGTTTCCCGACGAAGAATTACAGGAGCTACTTACCTCCTTCCGGCCCTCAAGGGTAGAAAGTCAGACGATTGGAACATCGATTCTGATTTAATCAGGCAATGCATGAAAGTCCTATATAAATTTGAACCCGTCATAAAAAAAACTTCAAAAAAACGTCATTTTTCTTCGGTTTCGGTAAACTGTTCATGCTTTGCTGAGGTGCCATCCATACTCGAAACTTCAACAAACCTGAAAAAACCAGCCTATTCCATTAATCATTGGTGCAATTAGTTATTTCTAAATAAATTTAGACGTTTTTAAGAAAATTAGATAATCTGTCGGATTATTTCGTTTAAAACATTTTCATGTCTTCTACTTTAAATCTTCGTATGTAAGCAACTGACGTTTGGAACCTTATACTGATTGAAACTCTTTAGTTCAGGCACCTCACAATGAATTTCAGATGTATTCTATTAAATCCACCGGATAAACCAAACTGCATTACTCGTAATTTTTTAAAATATTTTGTTCTCTCAATATGAAAAATTTCAAAGCGTAACCTTTGCGATTACATTTCATAAACTATCTTCGTGTTATCTAGTTGGTTGTGATTTTTTTTTGTCTTTCATCGAGAGGGAGAAAAGGGTCACCTATTTTGTATGCACTTAGTTTAATTTTTTCGACGTAAGGGGAAGTATTGTGATTGTTCTTATTACAATTATCCTATTTTAAGTAACCGTTCTTATATGACCTTGTCTATCGCATTCGACCTTCTTTGGAGTGAGCGAGTGTCAGTGTTATGTTATTGCGTCTTAGTTATAAATAACACAATTTTTAATTCAACTCTAAATCTAGACTTTTTATTTATTTTAAGCTGGTCTAGTTAGCGTCTTAGTACTTTTTGATAACTCTAAATTAATGTTTTGGATTGATATCATTGAAAAAACAATCATTCTTTTTTGGGCGGTTATTCAACTCTTTTTAACTATTTTTTCTTAACTCTGGTTGAAAAAATCAAAGATTAAATCAAAACAAAAAGCAAAAGAATTTTTCTGGAAAACAAAACAAATTGCAAATAGTCATTTAAAATTATTGCTAATAATGCAAACTTTTTTTTTCAATTTCTCATCTTTGTTGCGGACCTTGGATTTTTTAATTTAAGGATTTGTGGAATCTTACTACTATAATTTTTTATAATGTCCAATTTCTATAAAAATTGGTTGACTGGTTGAATAAACTAATCGAAACGTATAGGTTATTTGGTTTTATATTTTCTTTAAAAAAACTACTCTTTACTACTCAAAATCAATTAACTTAATGCTAATGTGAGGAGGGAGGGGGGGTGTTGAAGAAGGAAAAAACTGAATTTTGTGATTGTATGAGGAGACTTTTCAAAAAAATCAATTTTTAAAATGTACTACATTAATAAAAACAAAAACTGCCGGAGGCGAAGTAAAACATCAGGCCAAAACTAAATTTTTTGATAGTTTTTTGAGGTCTTGAAAAAAAAATTGTTCTTCTTTGGCTACTGTTCTCCCTTTAAAAAACTATGAGTCCATTGAACAATTACATTAAACAATCAAAACAGTAAAGAAATAAATTAGCCTTCTATGTTTCTTATTCTTCAAACTCATCATGAAACATTTCGACTTGAACTTTTTGGAATGAGTAATTAGTTTTTCATACGCAGTTTCAATTTTTTTTAAAACTTCGAAAGCTGTCCGGACTCAGTTTTTCACAAATTATCTTTTCAGATCGTTTAAAGACTTTTCAGCTCCGTTTGAGGAAACTTTACTTGATACCAACGAATGTTTTTATCAAAAATTTTTGAGTCAGTAGATTTTGCTCTAAAAAAAAACAAACAATGATCGGAGAAGTGGACGAAAAGATGATCAATCAAGCGCTGCAACCGTAATTTTTCTCTTTCAGGTGACTATAGCACTGACAGTGAACAGCGTGTTGTACACTATGTTTGCAGCGCTGCAACTCTTCCTGTTCATTGTCGGAAATGTGAGTGAATTTAAAGAAAGTCCAAAAAATGAAAAAATGAAAACTTATCAGATGGTTCGAAAATGTTTATTTGCGCTTGCTGGCATAGATCTAACTTCATATCAGAAAAAAAGAAAACTTTAGTTCGTACTTTCGGTAAAACTGACGGAATTAGAGTCCGTTGTTGTTTTGTTTTCTCTAGACACATTTGGCGGGCGGAGAATGCGTAGAAAATAGATTCACTCTTTCATAAAAATTAACTGCAACTGCAAAACATTATTATTTAAGATAAATGATTCAGAAATGTTCAAATCAGTCTGATAAGAAAATGCTCAAATGCAAGAAAATGTCACGAGTAGAACTTCTCTAATGGCCCAACAATTTTTGTTTCAGAAAACTGGAAACAATTTGTTGTATTATTATTATTAGGCTATTGTGGTCTTTGTGATTTAGAAACTGATGGGACAGAAGTGGGTCATACCTGTGGCCCATACTTCGTCCTCGATTGGGGCGGCAATCAGGGCTTTGAGCTACTTGGTCATACCTACCATGAGAAATGCACTCAAAAAAGCTACGGAGAATTTTTGGGGCAAGTAACCGTTTACCACGGAGCCTAGAGTGAAGAATCTGCAACTGAAACAAACGTGGAAAAAAGCTTTCGTCAACATTCAATAGTAATCCAAAAAAATGTGACGCGAACTTCAAGACGGAATTAATTTTTGATAAAGATATGCAAATGCTGTTGTGCTATAGTCACGGGACAAAAAAGTTCAACTTCTAGCTTTCAGCCGATGAAGGGACCGAAAACTTTCTGAACATTTTTGACGGTATTTCTTGTTACTACTTGAGATTGATGATGATAAACAAATTTTTTTAAAAACCTAGCCTCATCGAAAACAGAAAAATACTGTTTTCAAGGTGTTGTTTTGATCACTCAATCAAAGCTTGTCGGGTGGGGGATCTACGTGCCAAAAGAAACCTCTTAAACACCAGGAGTTTGACGCTTTAAACTCTTTTTTGGAAAGCTATGAATTTTGGAAGGTCTTCGTATATATTTTTAATGGTGTTTTTCGACAATCAGTAATTTCTCCGTCGAGCTTGATTTAATAATCAATCAACACTCTGAAAACAACATTGTTATTTTTCATCGGTTGTATGCCAAAATGCTTGCCATAAATTAGTTGGCAAGAAAACGATAAACTTATTCGTTGATTCAATCAGTTGAAAACTAAGAGCTGCAACTTTTTTGTCGTATTTGGCAAAAAAACTTTTCATTCCTTATTTATGTTTCAATAATTTATTTATAACTTCATAGTCCAACTTAGTTATATTGTAGCTTCTATTCAAATGACTATTGTCATTTTTAAATCATCGGCTTTCTTGGTTTAAATCCTGATTCTGATCCTCAAACTGCTCCTGATCGTCGAGCAATGAGAAAAAAAAACTGCGGAAAGAAATCTCAATAACAAAGTTGCTCTTCTGTTATTGGAGTAAAGTTATACGTTAGAAACGACGATTATTGTCGATCGGTTTTTTAACTAAAAAATTTAAAACAAAAAGTTCCTTCCGGGTAAATTATTTATATTCAATCTTTTGGGATGAAAAATGAAATTTTTTAACTGATAGATTTATTCCAATAAACACTACATTTCAATTCGATAAAATTTTTAACCAATTTAGCGCGACAATTTTTTTTGCCAAGCTAAAATCCAATTTAATCCCTGTGCTGACAATCATTTTCCTCTAGAGTTAATTGAATATGCAGCTTATATGAAACTACCCTCCACCATATCGTATCTTATCAACCTAAACTCACTGAATTTCATAACTTTACCGAAATAGCATTTTTTCAAGAGATAGTCAGTTAGTCACTATTACGAGCTTGCAATCATCGGTCGTAATGATTTGTTTACCGGTAGTTTTTGTGAGATTAGGCGTAGATCAAGTTGTACAAGTGGTTCTGGGTTTCAAGTGGTCCTGCATTGATTTGGTTCTGAAAGTTGGCACTCACTAGTACAAGAACTGGAATTAAGTGCTAAAAAAGGTGAAACCAGTTTTAAACTAGTATTTATAACCAAATATATGGTTGATAAAACTATCCCTATAAAATATTACTAACTAACCAATCATATTTCATAATTAACACTGACAATTTTTTGTAGTGCCGAAACTACTTGTAGTTTCAGCACCAGAACAATTTGAATAAACCTTAGAAGGCAGTTGTTCTCCTTTGGACAAGTTCCATAAACATAACCCGCAAATAGCAGTATACACTAGAGCTATTGAGACTAGGAGATATAAGAGTAAGATTAAGATCGTTATTAGACTAAGAAGTTGCACGAACCTATCCGGCCGAAAATAAGATAGCGTGACGAACAGAAGATGTACCTCATCTGAAAATACTCGATGAGAAAACTACTTCGCGCCTAAACTATTCTGGTGCAACCAAAAAACTCGAACAAGACCTAACTAACCTAGATTTAGCAAATTAGAATTAGAAAAAAGACCAAAACTGCAAAATTGCAAAATGATAGATGGAATAGACTATTTATTAGATATATCTCTGTGTCTCAATGAATCTACTCCAATATTTCAAACCATACAACCAACACCAGTTCAAAAGCTGACCGATACACAAAGCTACTCTATCCTGACAAGGTGCAAACCGCAAAGTGTATTTGTCTTCAGAAAGCTCTATGCAGTAGCTTTTGATTCTCTGACATGAAAATAAATATGCTCGGAAAATAAACCTAATTTCCAAGCAATAAATTTCTTGTTGCTTTATAGCCATTTTATATAACAATAAAATCGACTGATAAAAAGAACACAAGTCGATTCTTTTATCGAAAACTGCAGTAATTTAATTTTGAAAAATTTTGGTAAAAATAAATTATATTGAATAAAAACATAAAAATTAATTAGAAAATAAATTTAATTCAGTTTTAATAAATTTATAAAGAGTTTCTCGCTTTTCAAGAACTCGTTTCTTCTTCATCCTGGCTTCCTCACCTAAATTCAACAGTTTAAGAAACAGAAATTCTAACCCCTGGATTTCGTATCTCTCATCCTAAACCTTGTCAAGAGATAAGTTAGGTAGTAAACAAACAATAGTACTTCACGATTGTTTAATTCAAAACTAAAGATTGGATCTTGTAGTTACACCAAATAAACAAACAATAGGATATATTAGATCGAAAAGACAAATATGAAAAAAGACAAAAATAGCAAAATTAAAAGAAATTATAAAAAGACGATTTTCAAAAACACGTAATGCAGTTTCGGAATCACGTACAACCGAAAAACAACAACTTTAGGACCTAAAAGACTCAATAGGTAAAAACAACCCAAAAAACGAACTAAAATAATTTTCAGACTTAGAATCCACAACACCATCATCGATAAAAGGCAAACGTAGAATAAAAAATTTATAAAATCGTAAGCCCGTACGACTATATAAATGGAATCAACCAATAAGACAAATTGAAAGTCACACTTTAACAGTACAACAATACAAAAAGTGATTCAATAGGACAAAAATTTCGACGATGATTCTTCGTTTAGTTATACTTCTTTTTGTATTCCCCATCAATCCCCAAAGTGATCCCGCTAGAGGACAGGTACACTTTTGTCATAAATTAATTGCAAACTTATTCGAAAAAGGAAATAGCCCATGTGAACGGCAATTTCTCGAAGAAAGAATTAGAAAACAAATACTCGAGCACTATTTAATAGGCATCGGTAACACAACTTCATATTACGGAATATTCCTTATTCATATCTTCCCATCACAAACAAACCAAACACCACTTTAAATACAAACAGATAACATAGATATGGACTTCTCGAAAGTTTTTACAGAATATTTAACAAATATACAACATCAAATTTCAGAAAAAGCAAATTCATTCTTTACGAATGACATTTTCTCTATCATTTATACTTAACTATCTAAATTAGAACGAAAAGAAACACTAACTGAATCACCACCTCAATCATCTCGACAGGCAACTATAAGACAGTAGATTAACTTTTTATCACAATTTCTAGATACAATTCGTGAAACACTCACTGACAAAGAAATATCACAAAATGTAAAACAGGATCTCCAACGAATCCTAACATGTTTCATAATAGACTACGTTGTTCACAGTTTAAACTTCAATTCAATATCAAGAAAGAATTTTCGATCACAATTCTCAGACCATGAAACTATACTAGCAGATCAAAAAAAGTATGTTTGGGACCCTAATTTGTCTTATATATATTTCTTATCAACATCATCGCTGATGTTTCAAGTGCAGCAATTGCCACTGTTTCTGTACACAAAATCTTTTTAAGAGTTGTTCCACTCACTATTGATGCAACACCCCTAAATAATAACACAATGTTTAATGATAGAACAGGAAATAATAGTTTAAACTCAACATTTGTAATTAAACAAGAAACCTCTGTTGGAACTACAAATCTTACACAAAAAGATATTCAAACTCCATCGCATTTTAATTGAGGAAATAGTTGAAACAAAACCTACAACAACACAATAGAGTTTTTCTCCTACTCATCCAACACTTACGACACCATACAATAAGAATTTTCCATTTCCACAAACAATTCTTCAATCGACAGTGGAACCCTCTGTTGTTCCAAAGTATTCACAAATTGATATCAAACATAAAAACCAACAACCAAGTCACGACAATCAAACAAGGAAAAGTATGAAACTCGTTAAAGTTATGATTTTTTTCTCAAACAAAAAATAAAAAGACCAAAGTTGAAGACCTCTTACAGAACACGTCATCAAAATCAATTACAAGAACAAAATTACATTAAAAAACACTACATTGAGCTCGCCAGTCCGTTTTCTCTAATGAAAAAAAAACTACGGCTGACCGCAGTAAAAATTATCCATTTTTTCAGCAAAACAGAAATCCAACAAACAAACAATTCACAAGAAATCAGCCACACTATTCTTCGGAACATCAACAATCAGCCACACTTAATCAATCAAAATCAAGAACAGTATTATAATAACATTTGAAATAACAACTAGACTAAAAATAATCAACCTAATATTTTTTAACCAGATATTTTTGAACCTTACATGTACTCTGAGCAAACACGACAAACAAAACGATCTCTCCCCAAAGACAAAATTTGTCATCATATATTAATAATATACAATCTCAAAATTCTACAAATACCCAAAGTTATCAGCCTAATCAAATTCTAAATGAAATTCCTCTACTATACCTTCTGCTACAACATGAGGTTACAAAAACCCAACTTACAAGTTTCTCACAAATACCAAATGCAGCAGAATCACTAAAAATGACCATGAATCCATATCTTATGGGTGAATCATCCATATCTTCTAATAAAATACTTCTAATAAAACAGACCCTGAATACTCAGTAGAGCTCTACTTAAAGGCAGTTTCAACAAATTTAATCTTAACAATAGGCCCGGGACCAGTAAGTATATCACGCCATCAAAATTGGATACATAGATGTACAGCTATATTCCAAACCACACTTGATGGTGCAGCTCAAAAATGGTTTTCAGCTCTACCTATAGACATTAAATCAGAATGAAAACGATTCACACAAAAGTTTTCTGAAATGTTTAACCCCGAAAGAAATAAACAACACCAAAAGTCCTATGCAACGAAATCCGTAGACTCCGCATCGAAACAGGGAAACAACTCGCAGTATGAATTGAAATTTTAGTAAGAAAAGCATATTCCCTCAACACGCATGACTACAAAAATAGAAAAATGACTAAAAATTTAATGATGACTCTAACACCACAATTACGCAAAAA